CACCGAAAGACCTTAAGGATAATTATATTGCTCATGTTTTGGAAGAAGTAAAAAAGACATAGACTCAAGGCCCTTATTTGCACTGAATGGAGTCCTTGAAAAATGAGAAATGTGTCCTTGAAAGTCCTTGAATTTTTTTTCAAAAAAGGGTACAGTCAACTCTCTCCAAGACGGACACCTTTGGGACCGGCACTAAGTGTCCGTCTTAGAGAGATGTCCATCTTATAAAGAGTCATATAAAGGGAATAAGCAAAGGCAGGGACCAACTCTAGGTGTCCGTCTTATAGAGGTGTCCGTTAAGAGAGAGTCGACTGTATAAACCTTTACCACTAGCAACATTTTTGGGGGAACAAAATCTGCTATTTGACCTCCAAAATTCCATACTGACTACATAGATTTGTCTGGAAGCTCTTGTTGGGCAAATGTGGTAGTTGTGTCCTTTTTGTATTTACAAATGACAAACAAGACAAAAGGTGATCACATAGATAAAAAATGCAATGAATATTATAATAAAAAACAGCTATTATTTGTGGAATACATTCTTTACAAGAAGTACTGCCACTCAGTAGCAGAACTCGAAACTTTATGATACTAGACCAGAAGGAACATGATTTGGAACAAATCTTTATCTACAACTGCAAAACTCCATGATTTATAAAGTTTATGTAAACATTGATTTATGTTATCAATTTGTAATTTTGGGGGCTAAATCACAGACATCTCTACTGCAAAATGTCACTAGTGGCCAGGAGCAAGGAAAGACTGCTGTTTTGGCAGGCAAAGAGTTAGACTAGAAGAAAATGTTCTTATAGTTTTTATTTTATTCTGAAATAATAGATCCGTTCTAGGGTTTTCCAAAACTATAATTTTTGAGAAGAAAAAGGAATTAAGTTTCCCATTTTTAATCTACTTTAGTTATTTTTTACTAGTTTTTAATTTTAGTAGTTAGGAATGGTAACAGGACTGAGTGGAGTCCAATTAGGTCTGTAATCATACAAGTGATTAACAAAATCAGACGACTGCGTAGCAGGAGTCCGATTTGTTTAATCATGAGTATGGTTACAGACCGAATTGGACGACACGGAGTTCTGCTACCAATTAATCATAAACTTTAACAAAATTTGTGATATAATAGGCTATTTTTTAAATCAAAACACAAGAAATTCGAAATTTTGTTTTGCTAGCAGGGAAAAAAAAGCCATTTAAGCGCGCGCATGATGGCGCGTACTGTCCAATTACTTAGGCATGACGTGTACTGTCCTATTAAACTGTCCAGTTAAGGCTGAAATCAGGGCAGTTGATAGCCAATCAGATTTGACAATTTTGTTATAGTTATGATTATTTATTAAATAAATATTATTATAGTTATTATTATAGTAATAATATTATCAGGGTGCTGAGTAAAGCTTTTCACAAACACATTCTTGTTAAATAATATATTGTTTTAAAATCTAAAAATAGCAATGGTCTGGCAGTGTCTTTTGTTGAACATCTCTGCAGAAATCAGACTTGTTTCTGCAATAACTTTCAATTTTACCACAAAATTGTCCAAGATCAATTCAAACCAGTTTTCCCTTTCAGTTAATGAGATTTTTGTCAAACACTATATAAACTCATTATGACCTGACACTTTTTTTTTTGTAACTAAGAATTTCAAATGTGAATAATGCCAAGGTTTTTATAGAAAAGTGTAGAACTTGGTGTAAACAAAATGGAGGAGTGTTTTATTAAAGCGGTGATGGTAGCATGGCTTAGGACTTGCATTTTTATATCCAGAGGCTTCCATAATCCCTGTTGTTCATGCCCTCACATGTTGAGTCAGGGAGGCCTGTTCTTTGAACAGCTCGGAGCTTAGTGGTGTATCTTTAATGACCCCCCTCCCCCTCCCCCCTTCCAGAGGATATCTGCTCATCCTCCGGGTCATCCTCACAATGGCACAAATGGCAGGGAGTCTGGCCAAAAAACAAAAACATAACATAAAACGAAAAAAGTAACTCTTCTACGGTACTAAAATGCAGGGATTTTACACCTGCACCCAGGAGTCTCTTCAATTTTTTTTTTCATTTTTCAATGATCACGTGTGAGTCTGTGGTTCAACGTCGTGGTCTGCTGACGTCATCACCATATGCCAGCGTTTATGAGCAAGAACGAACATATTACCAGCCATAACGAAGCAAGAAGGAAAGTACCCTACGAATAACCAGCCCGAACTGCGCAAAGGGGTGTGCGGAGACCCGTGACGCCGATTTGCATCGATAAGAAAATAATACTGTTCTTTTAAACCTGGTCATAAATTTGTTCAAGCGGGAGAAAGGAGGTGAGATTATTGTGCCTATGTATATGTGCTCTATACACCGAAAGTAAAGACCTCTCGGAGTAACCTTTGGCCGGTATGAAACTTTGCTTCGTAGACCATTGTACGGCGTGAATATTGTTTGACATGAGCGTACTTGTAGAATTTGATTATTATCTAAATTTAGTGGTTAAAAAGAAAACAAACGGGTTCACTAAGCGTGGCTGTCGAAGAAGCGACATTGAAGATTCGATTGATAGAGCAATATCGCGCTTCATTACACGATGTAGTTATGAAATCAACTTTCACATCGCCGAGTTATAGGGCCGTGAAACACACATGAGAGCGTTTGAAGCGGTATTACAATAGTCCCTCAACATCGACTGTGTAAGATCATTACATGTACGTGGCATTCCTAAGTTTCGCGGAGGTTGCAAAGCATATGCTCATCATGTTTGACTACTATGTATTACTTGGTATGGGTATAAATAAGCTTAATTTTCTCCTAATGGCCTGGTATTCTGAAATTACTTTATAAGTGATCGCTGTGCTTTCTAGAAGTTCGCATAATGGTTAATGCTCGTCTCAAGTGGACGCTATTCAGTAGCATTTTATAGAAAATTTATTTTGGAATTTTAAGCTCATTTGCATTATAAGCGGTTAGTTAATATTTGTACAATAATAGCGCATTTAGATCATTTTACACATAGCTTGACTCTTAACGCCACGTCCAGACGAATGCGGAAATGCACGAATTGAAATTTTGCCCACACAATAAAACCAGTGCATCCGCTCACCTCGAAAGATAGTCAAGCTTAACCTAGGTTTAAGCCAAAATTAAGTAAGGTTTTCTTGTCTAAGAATATGTCACTAGAGCTAACAAGATACTGTTTTGTCTTTAATGCGAGACTCAATGATGATAACATAGAATGTTTATCCATACATGTAGGAAGATAAAGACAAAAATGGAACAAAATTTTTAATCTTGGATCAGCGTTAATCGGCCTTACAGGAATTGAACTGGGGCCAGGAGGTTTTATAGCGTCCGGTCCACATTAATCCAGGTCACAAAATGTGTGGACAGGGCTCGGGTACATAAGCCAGCTTGCAAGACACTTCCAGAGACCTATATGATTCGATGTTCCTCGGTTAGAAATTAATTGAATTTCGACGGCTGATGATGAATGTGTCAGGTCACAAAACACACGAACAATCGAAGAAATATCCTATTGTTCTTCCGTATTAAATAAAAGGGCCTGTTTGAAAAGGAGCTTTAAAAAGGCGTCAGCAAGGCTTTTACTGCAATAACCTGCGATCGCAGGTAATTACTGCAATGGCCAACCCCATGCAAAAGTAGCTAAACTGTTTTCGCACTTTGAGTTTATAATCTCGTCGCGCGCGCATTGGTTGGACCGCGCGTGGATCATTCGAGTGAAAGTGATTTCTCATCATATCAGTGACCAAAGTGCTTTTTTTTGCGGTCGTTTTAAGAGTCTGTAAGTGCTTTCTGCAATGAATTTCGAATGCAAAAGTACTTTTAAGAGCAAATGGAAGCGATTTTGGATACTTAGTCTCAAGGCACGAGCGGAAATGTAAGTAACAAAACACGTTTTGCTCGCAGGCGACTTTATAGTGTATCAACACAGTTGGGCTTCTGTTCTCTAACTGCGATGAAATGCGTTTACGTTAGGTTTCTACCGTCAAAACAGCAGTCATCCTTCAATCTGAATTCGTGTTTAATAGGGCTCGATCATCTTTAAAGATGACGCTCAAGCGGAAGTTTTAGAGAAAAGGCTCTTGAGAAAATATTATCAAGAATTTCGCAACGTGTTTCATGTGGCGTAGTGGTGACGCAACGGCCTGGTGTGCAGAAGGTGCCAATCACGATTCCGGGTAGAACCTGTTTATTTCTTCTCTTCTTTTCTTTTTTTTTTCTTTTCCTTTTCGTTTAGTCTTCTTTTTAGTTATTGTAGTTTTGTTTTATTTCTTTACATAGCTTAAGTTTTTTAAATTTGTAAAATTTTCCTCCTTATTGTTTTACAGTGAAACCTGTATTAAGCGGACACCTCTTTTAAGCGGACGCGGACACCTAAAAAGTACCTGAAGTGATCATTTCTATTGTTGCCAACCTGTATTAAACGGACTCTTGTAATTAAATTCCACCACCCAACATGCCAGACACTGAAAATGCTAAAGATTGCCTCTAATTGTCACCAACAAATTTTTCGATTTTTACATTAAAAAACGTGACTTGACGAACTTAATTTGATTAGTTTCCCAGTATAGTACTGTTTTCTATTTCGTTTTGTTTGTATAGAGCTTTTTTCACTCATCTGATTTCTTCAAATTTGAGTTGCAATCTATGTTTAAGGTACTATGATCAATTGGTCTACTTTGATAAAGAAATTCATGCAACGTATATCGTCATAGTCTCTGCGAGTATTCTAAACGTTTCCACTGTTTATTTGAATGGCATTTGACACCTCATATGTCGTTATCTATTGAAACCTGTATTAGGCGGACACCCTGTATTAAGCGGACACTGCAGCTTTCCCCGAGGGTGTCCGATGAATACAGGTTTCACTGTATTTCCCTTTCAACGCCTTGCCGTTCTCCCGAAGTCCTTCGGGAGGTCCTGCGATTCACGTATTTCTAGTACCGAGTGTAGCCCAGAAGTCCCAGATTGCAAATTATCCTCGACCGCTATTATGTTCAAGTTGCTGGAGGGTCGTTTTATTATCACATTAAACTGTATTTAAAAATAACATTCTTATGTAGGCTAATCTGTAGACTGTTCAAAGTCCCCTATTTTTCTAGTTTCCCTCGCAGCCGTTTTTGTCACGTCACGCAACGCTCCCGCCAAGATGGCCGCCCGTTCTAGTAAGAGCTCGATCCTGACGATCTTACGAAAAAATAGGGGATTGTGGATAGTCTAGCTAATCTGAAAACAAGTGTCACTGTGCTACAAGACCAACTTGATGTATGCCTTTAGTAACAAGCTTATTCATTTCTTGCCCCCAGTAAGAAATGTACTCAAGTTTATGTTGTTGTCATTCCTTCACAGACGCAGTGGATTAAACACGCGATGTTTAATACCCAAAGAGCGGATGTAACGCGGCACGAAAGACTCCCGGTGGGAGAAAAACGTTACAAGTGCAGACAATGCGGGGAGTGCTTCGGTAGGATAGAAAACCTCGTGAGGCATCGCAAAACACACAAAGACGATATTCAGCGATTGCAGTGCAAGAAGTGTGAGAAATGTTTTACCACAAAGGCTCATTGCCAACGACATGAAGAAACGGTGCACTCTACAGAAAAGCCTTTTCAGTGCAAACAGTGCGGAAAGAGATTTAAAAGGGCAGATGTCTTGGCTAAGCATTTTAAAATCTCGCACGGTCAGTGCGGCAGGAGTTTTTCCAATTCCGGAATTCTTGCCTCGCACAAGCTAAGGGCTCATAACTTGCCACAGCGCTACAAATGCAAGAATTGCGGTAAGGGTTTTAGTAATGCAGTGAAATTTAGACAGCACGAGCAAATTCATGCAGAAGAAAAACCTCACAAATGTGAACAGTGCGGCAGGCATTTTACTAATGCGGGCAATCTTGCGTTGCACAAGCTGAAGACTCATGGCTTGCCTCAGCGTTTCGAATGCAACAATTGCGGTAAGGGTTTTAGTAATGCAGCGAATTTTCGACAGCATAAGCAAATTCATGCAGAAGTAAAACGTTTCAAATGTCAACAATGTAGCAGGCGTTTTACTAATGCAGGCAATCTTGCCATGCACTGTACGACTCATCAAAGGAGTTTTAAACATAAGGACGACCGTAAGGGCTTGAATGGTACAGCTAGTCTTAAAGGACATAAACAAATTCATTCCCGAGAAAAACGTCCCAAATGTGAACAGTGCAGCAGGCGTTTTACTAACGCAGGCAATCTTGCCGTGCATTCCAAGACTCATCTAAAACGTGAGCAACCACGTGCTTTAGGCAATCGCGTCAACCGTAGCAAGACAGACGCCGAACAAAAGCGATATCGGTGCAGGGAATGCGGCAAAACCTTAAGAAAAGGCAACTGGAAAAGGCATAAGAGGACACACACAGGAGAGAAACCCTACCAATGCAAAGTCTGTGGAAAATGTTTTGCTGATTCAGGAAATTGCACTCGACACACCCAAATACATTCGAGCGAAAAGCCCTATAAAGACACAAGTACAAAGACTGGTGTGTTCATTGACGATGCCAGTAATCTTCAGCAGAATACGGAAGAACGTTGTGTTAATTCGCAAGCACATGAAGAGCATCGAAAAAAGGGCACAGAGGACAGACCCAGATGCAAAGAGTGTGGCAAATGTTTCACCTTGCTGGAAGACTTGAACAGACACATGTTGGTTCACACAGGAGGTGAGAAGACTTTTGCGTGCCAGTACTGTGGAAAAACTTTCCCCACGCGAGGTAATCGTAATCGTCATGAAAGAGAGGTCTCGCATACAAGTAATAAGGCTCGGACGTCTCTTAAGGCAAAGCCACGTTCGAAAACTGGGGTACTACAGCCGAAAGAAACAAATCTGCATCGGAGTGAAGAACATCTTGGTCTGAAAGGGCAAACGCACGAACAGGATCGAAAGAAGGGCAAAGAGGACAAACTCAGACGCAAACAGAGTGGAAAATGTTTCACCTTGCTGGAAGACTTGAACAGACACATGTTGGTTCACACAGGAGGTGAGAAGACTTTTGCGTGCCAGTACTGTGGAAAAACTTTCCCCACGCGAGGTAATCGTAATCGTCATGAAAGAGAGGTCTCGCATACAAGTAGTAAGGCTCGGACGTCTCTTAAGGCAAAGCCACATTCGAAAAATTCGCACCAGAAGACGCATAGTGTCAAGTCTGTGCAAGATGTACACAGCTGTCAAGACAATGAACTTGACAGGCAACCAAAGCAGAATGAACCTAACACTTGTTGGATCTGCGATGAGAAATTCCCAAGTGAAGTGGCACTTCTGAGGCACTACGAGAACCATATGAAAATTGTATCTGAAGATGACTGAACCATAATGATTAATTGAAAGCTAAAACGTCTGGACAGATTGTTCATGATGAGATCTTTTTTTTTTGTAGAAATTCTAACCAAAAAGTACCAAGGACTTTTTGTTTGTTTGTCTTTATTTTATTTAACAACTGAGCAGCTACTTTTGTCATCCCAGGTTATTTGTGGCTTAACACTTCGGTCTTGGTTTAAGGATCAAAGAGAGTTAACCGGTTAAGTCGCCCGAAAGTCACCCCGCTTGAAGTTGTGTCGCTGAAACCAGAGTTAAGTCGCCCGAAATGCCGAGTCATGTCGCTCGATTTTATTAGGTGAAGTGCACAGAGAAACAAAGTTAATTTTAGTTAAATAAAGAGTGGGTGTGTGAGTATCTCGTTCTTGTAACCATCATGATACGAAACAAACGGAATGAATGTGTAACATACCTCGTTCTTAAGTGGTGATGAGACGAAACAAGTGATATAAATGTGTAATATATCTCGATCTTTAACCCTGGATTAGCAACGAAACAAGCTCGGTGGATGAGTAATATTTCTCGTTTTATAATTTTCGACGAGACGAAACAAGCGCAGCAAATGGTAATAGGGATGCTAGGATATTGTTGAGGCATGGTAAAATTACGAGCCAATTAACTCGGCATTTCAGGCGACATGACTCGGATTTCGGGCGACTTGTCCGTAAACCATCAAAGAGGAATATCCGTCTCCTAGATATAGTTTTCGCCCCATGTGAGGGAATCCGGATACCTGAATCCGGGAAATTTTTGCTTGGAATCCGAAATCCTGGGCTTTGGAATACGTAATACAGCTAAAGGAATCCTGAATCCGGCTAAGGATTGGAATCCGTATTCCAAGTTCACTGACCAAGAATCCGGAATCCTATACCTGGAATCTGGAATCCACGGCGTGGAATCCAGAATCCAAGACTGCTTGAATTCCATTACATGGAGCGATATTTTTCAGTGGCATTGGCTCGGGCACTTTCAATTGACTGATAACCATTTAACTTTCTAATATTCATTTCACTATGAGTCGATGTTTCTGAATTATAATCAGCTTTTATTTAATATGCTTTTACATCATATTGCTGCCCATCCATTACTTTATGTTTAACATTTATGCCCCTTTTAAATCCGCTGTCTAGACAGATATCCGGTACTGGAGCTTCCATAAAACTTCAGTGGTGGTGTTTCTGTAAAACAGTGCACAATCGTTAGAGTATGTTGCATATACATGTTATGTTACCGCGCCGTAGTTGTTAAAGATGGATAAACCTCTATTAATCTGGCCCAGTTATCCAACTGGGCCAGAGTGTTCCGTCAGATTTTCTAAACACCGAGAAATAGTTTGAAATGCATATATTTATTTCACGCTGAAGACTTCTTCGAGCCGTTGGCCAAAGGATTTTGTGAAGTCATGATGGGATTTGTCAATTCGTGCGGCAATAAAATTTCTTGGACTTAATTTTTGTATCACATAACTTCTAAATTGGTTGTGTCCCAAAAAGGCCATTTTGGTCACGCGTAGTAATAATCTGAAGAGTCGAGTATTTCAAACTGCACTGAAAGTTTCGCTTCATTATCTTTGTTGTTTAGGGATAATTGGTCACCTAGATCTTAACGAAAACGTAACCAAAAAAAAACTTTAGCATGGAGGGGCTGGACATTTGCTTGAACTTAGCGTTAAGGCCCTGATGGGAAGTGGGATGCTTTAGGTATCCCAAGTATCCCTGTAACTCTGAGAACATACGTCCTTATCCCAGGGACCGCGCAGGGGATGTGGGTAGGGGGGGCTTTCCCCCCCCCCTCCCGCTCCCACTTTTTGGAATGGTTAAAATATTTTTTTTTTTTGCTCTAGTTACCCAGATCTGTCACTTACCACACAAACAAGGTTTAGTAATCTGACAATACTGAACACCCACAAACAGAGAACAGACAAACTTTGTCTTGTAGCTGTTGCCAATGAGTTTGTAGCTCTTAATGACAATCGGTAAGGCAACTTTGGCACCTTCAGAGAATCTGACTTAAAAATGTCCGGGTGACACTCAATCGTCGCGTGTGTTGGGTTTAGATTCAAAGTCTATTCATTTTAATTTTGGTCTAACGTGGGGGCCAGGTTGTAACTTGTTGTTTTAAGTGCCGATGTAATAAATACAAATTTATATTACTATTGGCAGTTTTAGATGCATTTATAGCCATTTCAGATAACTTAAATTTGAAGTTTTCCCGGGGGAGCATGAACCCGGACCCCCCTAGTTTGCTCACGCTTACGCGTGCGCACTAGCGCGAGCCCTGTTATTCCTAAAAGATATATCCCTAGGAATAAGTATTGTGAGAACATGGCGTTACTGAGAACCAGTGACGTCAAATAAAATGGCTAAGAGGCATTCCTTTTGCTCGTTTTAAGTGTATTTTTCGAATGGATTTCTATTAATAACTGTCCAAAAAATTCCTTGCNTTTTTTTTTTTGCTCTAGTTACCCAGATCTGTCACTTACCACACAAACAAGGTTTAGTAATCTGACAATACTGAACACCCACAAACAGAGAACAGACAAACTTTGTCTTGTAGCTGTTGCCAATGAGTTTGTAGCTCTTAATGACAATCGGTAAGGCAACTTTGGCACCTTCAGAGAATCTGACTTAAAAATGTCCGGGTGACACTCAATCGTCGCGTGTGTTGGGTTTAGATTCAAAGTCTATTCATTTTAATTTTGGTCTAACGTGGGGGCCAGGTTGTAACTTGTTGTTTTAAGTGCCGATGTAATAAATACAAATTTATATTACTATTGGCAGTTTTAGATGCATTTATAGCCATTTCAGATAACTTAAATTTGAAGTTTTCCCGGGGGAGCATGAACCCGGACCCCCCTAGTTTGCTCACGCTTACGCGTGCGCACTAGCGCGAGCCCTGTTATTCCTAAAAGATATATCCCTAGGAATAAGTATTGTGAGAACATGGCGTTACTGAGAACCAGTGACGTCAAATAAAATGGCTAAGAGGCATTCCTTTTGCTCGTTTTAAGTGTATTTTTCGAATGGATTTCTATTAATAACTGTCCAAAAAATTCCTTGCTAGAAATCACCTTCTGTTCACTAAAACTGCTTTCATTTTTTGATAAGTTCTCTCAGTTAGTTCTTTAAGACAAATGTATGGAGATCAGTCTGGTGGTTAGGTCTTAAAAGCCCGGGAGGGGACTCCCCTTATAAAAGTGACGGAGATGCTTGTCGGAAAATTAAAATTAAAACCCGAAGGTAGACCAATGTGGGTGTGGCTCAAGCATAAACTGATGCCTAAAGGAGACGATACTAACACAGACAGTAAATTTCTTTATGCACAGCCCAAAGCCGATACCTGAATGGGCAAATACAGTGGACCTCGATATAACGAAGTCCTCGGTTTAGCGAACGATTTTCTTTACCCAGTAATAGGAAAATATATGGAAAAGAACCTCGATATAACAAAAGCTCCTCAAAGCGAACAAATTTTGCCAGTCCCTTAGCACTTCGTTATATCAAGGTTCCACTGAATAGTTACTTTCCGTCCGTTACACCCTAAGTGAAACCAATTAAAATCTGCAATTTGCACCCCTCAGCAAGAAGACGAGCGTCCATATTACTTCCCCGGGATTAAATGGTTAATCGTTTATCTAAGGGGGGAGTACCTTGAAAATTAACTTGTAAAGGGATTCTTGTAACAGCACCAACGTCCCTCTGAACATAATCCGTATACATGATCCGGCTCCGTTTCTGGATCACACACGTATTTACATAATCCGCTGGTGTATGGCAGATAACAAGTAGCTGCCGTTTCGTCTAGGTGAAAAACATAAAAGAGCAAACGGCATACAATGCCAAGATTAGAGACAACAAATAATAGTAATTAGTAAAAGCCAACTAGTGGTCTATTATCAATGCTGCGATCTGATTGGTTGAGCTACTACTAGGCTATATGTTATAGCCTACTAGTAGCGAAAAGCTACGGCTTTCTGGCGACAAAAAAGGATTAAAGTCTAGCTTTAACTAGCTAAAGTTGTTTTGTCTAGATATTTCTGACCGAGTAGTTGGATTTTACTAAAACAATTATTCCTCTCGCCCTCATGGCCTCTGAGTCAATATCCCATTCGGGCTCGAAAATAATTGTTAAATAGTCTGTTTATAGTACTACACACAACGCACTATCCCTCCCCACCCCCCAACTTACTTGAACATCGGTGTATAATTGACATAGGAACGCTTATTGCCCCCACTCTGCAACGGTCAGTTTAAGGGGTGTTTCTTACATTTCTGTTTCAGGAACCATTGAACCCGTTAAAGATATGTTACGTTCCTTACAATTCTACGGATCGTGCAACTTACATGAGCTCAGTATACGGACTCTTGGCAGTGCCTTAACGATTTGTATGGACAGCCAGGGACCGCGGAGGGGGAGGGGCTGGTAGGGCCGCGGCCCCACCACTTTTTTGCGCCCCCGCCCCCACTTTTTGCGCTAAAAAGAAAAATAATTAAAATTAAAAAAAAGACTTGAAACAAGTTTTTTTCCGTCTATATTCCGCTATATTCTCTGTATTTTCTTTAATTTCAAACGCCAGGCATTTTGCGGGGCTCCTTTGCTTTTCGCGGTAATTGTGCCCTGGGGCCGACTTGCCCCTTGATCAAACGCCATGCCTTGGTAATTGCCTTGGCCACCCCTTCGCTTCGTTCGGCAGCGTGTTTTGTACTTCCAGCTCCGCCAGAGTTTTTTATCAGTTTTATCAGACGAAATGAAGATTATTACTAGGTTTTTCAAGCCAAACAAAGGTGAGTAGTTGTTTTGAGTTGATAAAAGTTTTATGTTTTGTCTTTCTCCTTTCGAATCAATGAAATATTCGATGGCAAGAAGAATTACATTACTTGAACAGTGAACAGCCATAGGGCTATTGCATTTAAAATCCGTACCCCCCGGTTGAGGACTTACCTTTTCATCTTACCCCTTTAGATTGGCTAAAATTGCATTCACCCCTGAAGACTTCCGTAAAACATGGGTTTACCCCTGAAGAATTGGGTCATACCCCTGAAGAATTTGGGTTTACCCCTGAAGAATTTTGTGAAAATTAAGGCTTCANCGGGGGGGGGGGGGGTGCGGATATTAAATGCAATAGCCCATAGTTAGAAATTTTTCGATTTTCAATATGAAAAAATTATTTTCAATTGTCAGCCCTCCCACATTTCACCTTGCTCCGCGGTCCCTGACAGCACGATCCATAAACTGCCGTTAGCGGTCCGCAAGACTGCGCGCGGCGTACGGTGATGAGTGTGTGGCTCGCTAGGGATAGTAACTTGGGACAGGCGAACATATTAGTGGCAGCCCGTTCCGCAACTAGCACTTACCCGGCGGATAGAAGCACCAGGGGGTTTTACCGTCATCAACCGAGTTGTCGTAACAGCATCCTTTTCCCAGACAGTCCTCTTTTGTTATTCCCACATATCCACAATCTTTACGTTCAGACGGGGCGGTTCGGCACATACCATAAGCGAGCTCTGTAAAGGAACGAAAGTACTGAAAGTAGACAAAGGAAACTAATAGTGGGCAGCGGGGAAACATTAGGGCGTTGGCTGAGATATGAAAATTTCACTTAAGGTATTTTTAGAGGTTGTAATTAAGCTGGGACGACCGCACATTTTAATCGACTGTTTGAAAAGTCCCCAAGTCCACGCGCGACTGCCTCAAAGCAATCAATGTAAATTATTGTTATGTAGACACACCAAGAGAGCATAATGTCCTGTTATTCTCTCTTTATTACAATGAATAAGAGATTGTGGATATCTTCACACCAACTTCCGATAAACCTCAAGCGTTTTTTCGTTCTAAAAATAACTTTGGTGAAATTCACACGCCCTAAGGGCTAGCCTGGGCGTTTTCCTCTTTCTCGTCCCATCATTCTTTCTTGCATAAGGTGAAAGGAAAATTGGAAACCTTAAGGCGTATGTCTGATGCCTCACAAGTAAAATACAAGGCCGCTAAGCTTTTTATTATATTTATAATTATATTTTATTTATTTTTTTTGTTGAGGATGGAGGGCGGGGGAGGAGTTGCTGGCCATTTAAACAGAAGGACTCAAACCTCACTAAAACCGAGGCAGGAAAAATTCAAGCATTACATTTCCCCCACATTCTTGCGTCTTCATAATACATCAGCAACGAAAGTCCTTTTTATCAATTTTACCATTAATTTTACATAGGTGCCCTTTCACATTCCGCTTCATTCAGCTGTCCTGCTTAAGTGTGACCAACATCAGTTTATCCTCACAAAATCAATACTTTATCAAGAGGAGAGGTTATGAGAATATATAAAATGGACACCAAAAGGAAACAGCTTTAATAATCTTTTATCAGATTCTCTTATCTTATTGAGATCAGTGTTGAGAATTTGTATGTGAATATTGGGGCTACTAACGAAACTGTAATACTCACGCCCAAAGTCCTTGACATAGCAATAAGGGGTGCCTTCAGCAACATCTGGGTCCCAACAACATGATCTCTTTTGGCAGGTTTTTTTCATCGATCCCAAACCACCCACAGTCTGTTTTAGGCTTGGGCCCAATAACACAGGATGGCACTGCATGAAAACAACGTGGTTGACAATGAAATATGTTGCATGTTTCTGAGCATACATCATGACCACACAAAGTTCGATATGAGGAACTTATCGCCCCATGTAACTAAGGGAATCCAGTTAAGACAGTCTTGGATTCTGGTTTCTTTGTCAGTGAAACTTGGATTTCGAATCCCATCCAAACTTTAGTGGGATTACCGATCCCTCGAGTTCTATTTCGGATTCCAAAGCCCAGGATTTAGCATTCCGGATTGCCCAATTTTGGGATTTTTTTGCAAAAAAATTCTGTCAACAGAGAGACATTTCTAGTGTGCGAACGACTTTTTTCACCTATCAAAATTTTCTCAAGTGTTCCCAAACTTCAAAGATGCCGTCGAGAATATTTAGAGGCCTTCATCTTATATTTTGCGAACGTGACCAATTATATATGGTTCCTTCAATTGACATTTTTGGTTACAAGAAACTTTTCGCGTGTCTCAACATCACAGTACAAAAAGAAAAATTGGTAACTGCAAAATTTTCAATTTTTTTGCCAAACCCAAACTCTATTTTTTGTCGTAGTGCGAACTAGGAAACTCACTTACCTACGCCATCTGTTGTGAAGTAGCCGATGGCTTCCCTTCAATACTGTTGTCCCAGCAGCATCCTTTTGCCTTGCACGTAGCTTCATCGATTCCAAACCATCCACAGTCAACGCGGTACGCAGGATCGACATCACAACTCCCTAAAACAATCACAATAAAGAACAAATACGGACAAAAGGGGGAGCCGCTAAAGTTAACTTGTAAATAACCAGAAATGCCACTGATATTGAGTTTTAAAGGTTTTACCGCTCTCGCTCCTTATCACAAATGCTGTTTCAACAAGTAACATGATAAGTACAATTTTTCCTCTCATTCTGATGATGATGCTGCAGCTTATTTTCTGCTTAATAAGGGGTACGTCGGTAATGTAATAAAAATTTACCCTGCTAGTTACTAAATGGTGCCACACCACAAAATTCTAGTGGAGTGCGATTTCTATTTGACTCCTCTCCTCCCCATCTTTGTCGCGGCTTCTTCGTCAAAGCATACAGCACCGTTACGCGCTTATCCCACCAGCTCGGTCTGCTGGGATATTTTCCCCGGCGAGGAGTACAACATGAACGAGGTAGGGAGGCTTTTCGCAAAGCTTAGATTAAACCAACAAAGGAGACCAATCTATAATACTGCTGGGAGTGACCCAGGGTTTTCATTTATAGCAAAAGGAGACCAATCGGCTGGGCGCGGCGCGATTTACACTTATTTGTTCCCTAAAGGAGACAGTTAATCACAGAACTATACGACGTCCGTGCAAGTAAAACTGTTTTTGCTTTTAGCCTTGAACATCCCAATTGACCCCAAAATCAGAAATTTAGCTTTCCCTGAATGATAAATGGTGCACCATACCGTATTGACGACTTGTTCTCTGAATATGCAGTGAAGGTGCTGTCCTGAAATTCTGCCGAATGAGTTACTTTTTGAATGGCGGGTCTTATATCAATGTAATGTGAGAGATACCAATGAATTATCAAAGGAGCCAATAGAAAATACAAGCTTTTTTGACACAATAGGATAAATAAGGTCTCTCGGGGCCAATTCGGCGTTTTGAGTTTGATCAATACGACAACTAAGTATTGGACGTGGATGTCCTTAGGACGAAATGCCATTGTGGTGGCTATACCGTTACCCCGACCACACTAAATTTGAAATTTTGCGCATTGCTTATCGTGAAATATTTGATCTCAGCTAACTTTTTCATCGATTTTATGATAGACACTTTAGGTTTGTATCAGTTGTCACAGCCGATATTTCAATGTTATGTTTAGGACGGAACTCAGTCAGTTTTATCAGAATTAACATTTCAGCATTTTGAATATGATTTCAAAACAATAAGTTTAAGATCACAGAAAACCCCACACAGATGAGTGTTTATTCAGCCGTGTTACAATTTGTTTTACCGAGATTCATTGGCAGTAAGAAGTTCCGATCGTAATTAACCTTACATGGGAAAACGAAAGCTGCTTAACATTAGTTTCTTGAAGTTTCAAACTATTCAGCACAATAATCTAGAGCAATTGAAGTGTTCTCAGCTGCTTTACCATCCTTTGTACGAGCTCCTTTTTAACTAGGAGGATGTTAGTTGTATATTCTGCCGTGAACGTAATTTTACATGAAAGACTTGCCGAACGTAATATTTGAACAGTATTAGAATACCCAGACCACATCTAAGCCAGCTTGTACACTCTACAATTTGAATTACCTCTCGCCAAGAGCGTCGAATTACCTCTACGAATTACCACAGTGAATTACCTCTTCAAGTTACCGATCAGAATTACCCCGAACCAACAGAACTGAATAACCTCCCGTTAAGACACAGAGCCATGCTGAATTATTTGAGTTGTCTACGAGTTAACTACGTGAGAAGATTAAACATACTTGAAGAGTTCCAATCCTGTCGCAGTCATTTCTGCTTTACTCTACGGACGAGTTACTAACGACCCTGTACCTCTGGCATTGTTTGTGACGTTGGCCGCGCAGCCCAGCGAAGTGTCTACCGAGCTTTAGTCCCATTCCGTCCTTCAGTTATTTCGAATCGGCCCGTCGATTATCCTTCTATTTGCCCAGCGCAACGCCGCCCATTTTATGAGAGTTAGAGACGAAGAACACCCTAAAAACATAACGTCACACAGTGCAACAGACATCCTCTCTTGGTAAAACTTTGTTTTGAAACTTAAAATATAACTAGAAGTTTAATTGCAAAAACTTGATTTATTTGCTTTAACAGTAAACTCAAATAAAAAGCAGCTATTTTCGTATACTGATAACTACAAGGTTGATAAAAGAATTTTTTTTTATATTACCTATTTGTATTTAATGCCTTATTTCTATACTGTTTATGTCCTGATAAATCATTTAAAACTCACGCAAAGTAAGTATATTTAATTAATGTAAATAAAGAAAAATACAAAAAGATGTGTTGCATACTACTAGAAGATAATATATGTTTTTACTGATGAATGCTTTTTCATGAGTTATTACTTTAGTTTCGACAGTTTCAGCTGAAAAACAAATAAATTTCTATAAACTCAAATTTACAAAACACATTGCAAAAATAATGTAAAAGATACGAAAATTGCCACAAAAGAAATAAAACACAACACAACACATTACCAAGAAATAAATCAATCCATCAAGCTTGCAAATTGCTTTTTTGGGCAATGCATGTCCCATTTAACGCAACACGTAGCCCGGCCTTGTTCTAGGATCTTTTTTTTTTTTGGCACTTTAGAAACTTTCCTAATGGATATTTTTCCATAAGATTATGGTGGCGTTGACAACCGCCGTTACCATGGTTATTTCAATTAAAGGTTATAGTGTGTACGTGAAAGCGTGCACAATCCGAGAAATAACGACGCCTCCCCGCGCAACTATAATTGCGAGAGACGAAAGAAACAGCAAAAATGTGGCGTGATAATGAAGGAATACCTGACGGAAGCAATAGTTTTTTAACCTCAGTCGATAGAAAAACAATCTTCCTTTAAATTTATATCAAAGCATCCTTTGTCCTGTTAGTTTGGTCGTGCTCTTTTGTTTCCCAAGACAGCTGGAAGACCCTTAGTAAGTCATCACCATAAATTAAAGCAATGGGATTGTTGCGTATTTAATTTCAATATATCAATTTTAAATGGGCACATCACCTCAGCGTCACTAACTCCAAATTTTATTTAGGTGTTCTCTATTCTCGATCTGCCCCAGCGTATGTTTTGCGGAGAACTGTCTAATTCGTTGTTGAGTGTTTATTTGAAATTTTCTCACTTTCGATGGACCTAGGGTATTTGTCAAACAACATAATCTTCCTAGGGAATAGTACTGTGAAAAGGTATACGTTGCGGCCTTGCCCTAAACTTATTCTCTGAACTGCTCAAGGCGTTGCCTGAAATTCAGCCCAAAAGATTACCTTATATTTTCATCCGTTTGATAATAAGATATCAGTGAAGAATCACCAATGTCCAAAGAACCAGGAGGAAATACAATTAAGGCTCTTTGCAATAAAGTAATTGGTCGAATGTTATTTAAGAAGCCATGCATGTCATAAAACGAACAGAACGTGGCTTGATAAAATTCAAGAAATTAGTAATTATAAAAACGCCCTAATTTTAGACATGTCACAGAAGTGCTCGTCATCACTGATATTTAATAGCAACTAAACTATCCATTTATGGCAATAGCTAAAAGCTGAAGATGACAAATAGTAGTCAAGGACTTTTTAGTGTGTTTCTTAAGGCAATAACGTCACTTCTAAAAGAATTCCCGTTCTTTCAAACGTCATCCAGTCGGAATTGATTCCAACGTGCCCAATGTGACACACACAAATTGCAGGCACACTTTCCCGGTCGGTTGCGTTGTCAGGGAACGTGTTCAAGCTCAAACAGGAAAAGAACAATTAATCTTTGTTTAATGTAGTTTTAATTCTGAAAAAAGGAAAAGCCTTGTTGTGAGTAGCTATTTAACTGGAGATTGGCTAAGAAAAGTTACGGTTATAAGACGTCATAATAAGACGTCCTTTTACCGTAATTTTGCCCCAAAATAGCTGTTCAGAGAAGCCAAGTTCTCTGGGTGATTTTTACAGTTGTAATAAATCAACAAGATAGGCCGGGGCTCCAAGTATATAACGGTGCATGGAACCCGATGTAACCAAGCGCCAAGGGACTGCGAACATTGCTTATAGAGATGAAGATGTATAGAGGTCCTGGGGCCCGTTTCTCGAAAGTCCCGGTAACTTTACGGACCCGAAATCAAATATTCAAATCGAAATATAAAGAATAAGAGCGCGGTTCCTGGCTAGCAAACTACTCCATTTTGTTTCATTAACTGACGGGTTTATCGTGTTAGATGCAAAACTATTGAAACCTCGATCTTTAATGTAAACGGAGACAATTTACCGGGACCGTTAATTATCGGGACTTTCGAGAAACGGGCCCCTGTGCCGAAAATGTCATTTCAACTGTTATTCAGGGGTGTTGGTTTTATCAGTGCTTCACTGTATCGAGGCGGGGGGTTCGTTATATACTACTTGGTGCCGCCTCCACCTAGACTGCCCAGTCCCCTATTTTCCCGTAAAGATCGTCGCGATCGAGCGCTTTGCGCTGCGGGCTGCCATCTTGCATGAGTGTCACAACTTCTTAGGGGGAGGGGGGCCCTCCCCCTAGAGCTATAATCCCCGACGCCCGCCCCCTCGGTACATTTGAAAATCAAGGTGGCCGCCATTAATGGTAATGCACTTATCAATGTTATGCCGGCGGGGGGAGGGGGGGGAGGGAGGCAGGGCATGGGGTGGGGATTTGATTGTCTTTGTTGGCCCTGGGGTAGGGCATTTGACTGATCTTGTTCACCCAGGGGAGGGGATATTTGAATCTTTCTTCGCCCGACGTGGAGATATTTGACTGCCGACTCGGACGAAAAAAAAGAGACTGAACTTCCACGCTTCACGCATGCGCCGTACGGTCTGGAAAGATCTGGAAATCATGGAGGCCAACGAGAACAAGCGAAAGCTGGGTGGATTTCACTGTTTCGTCTTCAAATTTCGTTTGTTTTAGCGTGTTTTTGTTCAATTGAACCTCTTAAGATACTGTGGTGTCAAAGTAAACTGAAGTAAAGAGCAACCAAGTCGATTTTTGCAAGTACAATTAATCAGTGTATGGCTCATTCGCTACAATCACTGTAAGCTTATAAAACTGACTTTCTTTGTACCCTGACTAAGAACGGTATATTTAAACTTACAAAACTCCGAGTGTGGACTTTCTCCTAAAGGTTTCTGTATTCTACGCAGTGTAACACGGTTTACGTTTAAAACGTATAATTGCAACTGTAACAGGAAAATGTATCTTTGGTGATGCAGCAACGTAATATAAATTAATAAAGATTGCAGAGTTTTATTTGGAGATATTTTTATTGTGCCTTTCTTGGGTCCAGCCTTGGGATATTTGACAGCAATGTGCAAACCGGGGTGGCGAAATCTGGTTGCATTTGGCTGGAATGATTTGCCCGTGGGCAGGGAATTTGACGGCAAATTTTTGAAAAATGTCAACCCATTGCTGCATAATCCGCTGAATCACATACTTATTTGCACAATCTACCAATATTTGAAAAAGGTCAAGACAAAAAACAAACAAATAACTTTACTGGCTTCCTCGAACAAATATTAGGAAACTAATATTTTATGATTTACAAAGTGACTGACTGGGCCAGTTCTGATGTTTGGTAAGCGCCCTTAGACAACTAACAAATAAATAAATCAAAGGAAAGAAATGGATGGTGTGTCTTACACAGGGATATGTTTGTACCTTTAGCTTGTAGCCCTAGCATACGGAAGCTATTTTTCAGGCTAGAACTTTGCAAGAAAATGAGAGAGGTATGGTACCTAGAATCTGAAAATCCCGGAAGCACTTCCGGTTTTAATATTTTTCTCTCGATGTCTCTCGCATTGATAGTCTCTCTTGCCGATCACAGCTGACTTGTTTGGTACAAAACATGAGGATTCCAAGGGAAAAAGACAGATTATAGAAATGGAAAAAGGACAAAAGAAATCGACAAGCGGTCGCAGAAGAAGGTAAATAATATCGATTTAGAAAATTTCGTCAGCGACGAGAAGTAACCGGGGAAGTGAACTGAATCTGAAATAACCCGGTGAAATTTCCCTGTAGAATTGAATATGTGAAGTAAAAAAAAACATAGATAAACTGATTTCCATGGACAAAATATTCTTATTTTATTTCAATCATACGCTAAAATAGTTGTAGTTTCTTAAATATGATAACTAAATATATTCAATTATAATAAAGTACCAACATTCAATCGGCTCCTGGCAATTATCATAATTAAGTTCAAGTCACGAAAGCTTGATGCTGGCGACATCTGACCCATTGATTTTTGAAGCTGGAACATTATAAAGTAGCAAACCTTTCCTTAGTTTTTAGGGGAGAGGAGATTTTAAAGAACGAAGTGGGCAGGAGGCCTTTTCACTCCTTTGATTCTTCCCCTTTTACCCCCAAAACGCGTGATAATCAGGCTAGATTGTTGTTGAATCCCTTGAAGGTGTATTAGGTAAAAATCAGACTGATAGGATAGTCTAATTTTTTTTTTCTCCACATATTCCTGGATAAATTGCAGACCTACATACGAGGAGTCGAAAAGCACCTTAAGTGAAGAACTTAGCAAATTTGTTCCTGTTCCCACGCATTTGATGGGATATGTAATTGGCAAGAAAGGCAGCACGATAAAACAAATACTATCTCAGTCAGGAGCAAGGGTAATAACTCAGGATCGGTCTAAAGCACAGCTTGGATTTATGGTCTACGGTTCTAAAGAAGAAATAAAACGCGCAGTGGAACTTATAAATGAAAAACTGCAGGTAAGAGTTAATCTACACTCTACCGACCTCTACCGGCGGACTTTCTTTTAGACGGCAGGCCATTTTCAAGGAATTTTCTTTAACTCATTTCTTCATTTAATTATGTACTATTCAGAACTGCATTCCTAGAGTCAATTTGTTGAAAATATTTGCTTTTGCTTTAATTGTTGTTGTTGTTGTTAATATTATTATTATTATTATTATTATTATTATTATTGTTATTATAATTATTATTATTATTATTATTATTATTATTATTGTTATTATTATTATTATTATTTAGACAAAGAACGACAGACACCATGCGTCCCCCTGTCAGCTTGTTAAGATTCCAGGTCAATTCAAGAAGGTTGTAAATGGTCCCGGGGGAGATAACCTTCGAAACGTTAGCACTGTAACTGGAACACAGGTGACGGCGGGAGCAGGTCATAGGCTGTACGTTAGAGGCCAGGATAAGAATGTACAGCATGCCGAGTTTCTATTACGAAGCAAAGTGGTGAGTTATCATATATATTAAAGACAGTTTTGAGAGGTTACAATAACCTTTTAATAGCTCGCGACAAGAAGATTTTTTTCTTTCATATTTTGATATTTCTTAAGGTGACACCTTGTGGACTTCTCTGCTATGTCACTGCGTTCCGCCGCAGAGAAAACGTTTAAGTTCTAATCAGCAGAAAGGTAACAACACGTGAAATAGGAAGGACACGACCAGTTGTGTTTATTGGGGACGAGAAAAAGCTAAACATACAAGAAATAAAGTAGTGGCGGAGAAAAACGAATTACATCACTGTAAACTACGAGACTAAACGTATGCGAGCGGTAAAACTGGCTGTGTCGAGTGACTAACGCGAGAGGCGACAAGGCTTAAATACCAAGATGTGACGTGAAATCCCTAGAGGATCAAACTGCGGCCATAAATGCAAATTCCGAACATAAACACATTATGCCTCGGTGACACTCAACAAAACAAATCGATCATATGGGTAATCAGGCAAGCAGAATGAGGAGACAGAGGATTGATTTTTCGCTTGCGTTTATCCATTTTTATTTTATTTATTTATTTTTTTTAAAGAAAAAATTCAGTTCAGTCATGTTTGAACTAGCTAGGCCCTGCCCGGATATTTTTGAATCCGCAACTTTTTCTTTCCGGTTTCAAAAATTTTCACGTCTACACGAATCCGAAACGTATCCGGATTCACTCTAGCACCCAGGACTCCTCTGAGAATATTGGCAACAGAGCATGAGTCGTAAAGACCGGTAGGAGAGAGAACCTCGAAAGGAGGTTGCTATCTTGAATACAGTATTCATGTTAAAGAACTGGGCTCGTACTTGTTTCGTCACCGGATAAAAAAAATATCCGGATTTGTCGTCCATACGATTCCGGATTCATAGGGTATTCAAAATTTCAGCTCTGGAGAGCGGATTCAAAAAGTTGCGAATTCGTTTGCCGGATTCACCGGATACGTGTGGACGGAACCCGAAAACCGAAAGAAAAAGTTGCGGATTAAAAAATATCCGGGTAAGTGTGGACAAGGGTTTAGCGTGCCTCAAATTTTTTTCCTGTCGCTGAGAAAACCTCTTGTTCTTTTAAATTAATATCTATAAAAGTCGGGCGTTTCCAGCTAAGATAAAAGAATCCGGCGCCCCCCAAAAAGTAATAATAAAAAAACAAACAAACGTACAACAACAGCGGCAAAATCTAAACTCGTCTGTTTTTCACTTTATACTGATTTTTTTCGCGGACGACAAAAGGAGCCCACAATCCTAATCTCCAGGACCCGGTTGTTCAAAGGCCGATTAGCGCTTTACCCAGGTTTCTTTTTCTTGTGTTCAAAAGCATTTTCTCGGATAATTGTCTGCGTTATTTTTAGAGCTTCCAATCATCAACTTGTAGACCAAAAGAATTAAGACTGAACTGCTTTTTAAACTTTCAAATCTGAATTCCAATCTCGCACTAACCCTGGGTTATCTTAACCCAGCTTTGGGATTGAACAACTCGGTCCAGGTTGTTATTTCGCATGCGTCTCATGTATGTAGCCAGCATTCGTTTAAACTTCCACTAAGAATGAATGAAACGCACAAAACGCACTTTGATCACGCGCGTTTCGACCTTCTACACCTTGTAAACTGATCACGCGTGTTTTGACCATCTGTCACGTGAAACTTACGCAAAGCACAGCGTTAGAGGAAAAGCGTTTGGACCCTCGATCGTTGTTGCCCGCACTCTCTAGCCTTTCGTTATTACTAGTTTTTACCTTTAAATCCATTTGGTTGCGGTTCTCGTTTTCTTTGCTCGGTCTTGTATGTGTACATGAAGAAATTGCTATTGTAAACAGATGAAAATATGTCATGATTTTAAAACTCTTTCCTTCATGTTCTTTGCCTCTTTGGTTTCCCTGTGGAATGCTAAGTACTCAGACAAGAGTATGCGCGTAACGATAGGCCAAAATTTTCAATCTTGACGAGTTTACCCGTTATCGGCCTCCGCTTAAAATCTAAAAAGATTCTTTCTTTTATTTTATTTACTTATCTATTTTTTTCTCACTTCGTCGATCTTGAGATTTTAGGCCTCTTCCAGAGTCCGTGTCAAATGGAGATACGTATTCATAGATGATCGCTACCTTCGACCTGAAGGATGTGACCTCAAACTTTCACCAGTGGAAGAAAACATGCGCATGATCTTGCCGGGGGCAAAATCACAGTATCGATTGAAACCTGCTTATGAATACGAAACACATTCCAAGGTTTGTACATCCGTGTGGATTTCATACAAGGTGCCTGTACTCGGTCTCTAGACAGCCATGTCCAAGGAGTCAAGTACTCACCCTCCCCACCCATGACACTTATATATGACCACTCAATCACTCCCCGCAAGCTTTGTTAGTAGTGTTATGATTATGAGTCACAGCATTGATTTGGCTGGGCTAGCCCACAGGAAAAATTCTCTGACTTTGCACTGCTTTCTGACTTGAAACTCCAATCAAAGTGACAAAATCCCCCCTCCCTACAACCCTAGTTTTGACACAAAACAAGTCAGCCACCCACCCACAGTTAAGTCTGGACCTGGGCTCTCTGGTGACACCAAGGTTTATTAAACACAAAATTCTTCCAAATTTAGTCATCAGTAGCTGGTTATGGGGATCATGAATTATGCGTGTGCTTTTAGCCAAGCAAAATTGGGGAAGTATTTTGAATGAATAATAATTCAATCTTATCAGTATACAAAACTTTCCTGTAGCTTCTATTTGAGTCCGTTTTGACTAAATAGTATTCCTATATGAGATGAGCCGCACTGCGTAGCTGTAGCTATTCTCGCCAGCCTAACTATGCTCTTCGCTATTTTTCCTTTCAAAAGGTCCAAAACACTAATTTCGGTCACTCTGTGCTCAGAATACGTAGCAGACTTGAGCAATTTTATTTAACAATCAATCAGGGCGCGTGATTGCATTTCTAATGGCATTAAAAATGGCTATTTAAGCCACCTTTTAAACAGAATCTTGAAGTTCAGCATCACAGTCGTCTTGATCTACTTGCAGGGAGCGTGTGAGCCAAACCACAAATCGAGCTACGATACCAGCTTGGAAGAAAAAGCTTTGTCATCTCTACGAGAGATTAAAAAGGAAATAGATTCAGGAAACTATCATATGGCAGACATGTGGTGCCATTTTGGGCGAGTCATCATCCGTGACCCTGATGAAGGTACGTAAATTCACTGGCCAGGCCACAGGTGCACATGCCCCTCTGATAAAGTGCTCCTGAAGATATGCCACGCTAGGGGCGGGGGGGGGGGGGCAGGGGGAGGTTAGAGCCGCCCCCTTCCCGGTTCCTGCCCCCGCCCCCCGTCCCTTTGTCTTCCACCTCTTCCCCTTTTCCGCGTTTTTGTTTTTTTTGTTTTGTTTTTTCCCTTCTCCCCTCCCTCCCCCCCTCTTATTAGTTGCGAGTCGCGCGCGTGGCGAGGCGGTCGGCGGCTGTGGGGCCGGGCCGCCGAGGCGGCGGCGCGGGCGCTGCAGAACCGGCCCGCGGCCCGGCGGGGGCGCGCGGGCCGCGGGGGGAGGCGGCGGGGGGGGGGGGGGGGGGGGGGGGGGGGGGGGGGGGGGGGCAGGGGGAGGTTAGAGCCTCCCGCTTCCCGTATCCTGCTCCCGCCTCCCGTACCTTTGTCTTCCACCTCTTGCCCTTTTTCGTGTTGTTGTTGTTGTTGTTTTGTTTTTGCACTTCTCTCCTACCTCTCCTCCTGTTAGAACTCTCGCCTCCCTTCCCTTCCTCTCTCGTCTCCTTTCCCTTCCTCTCTCGTCTCCCTTATCCATCCCGTCCCCTATTCTCTCGGGTTCCCACTCCCCTGTCCCCCTCCACACGCTTTCTGAGCCTGGTAAGCGGTGTTACTGTTTGAAGGTTTAATTTGATTCTCACATTCAGTGAGTCTCACTCTGCTCTTGATAAAAGTTTCAGTTCAGACGATATGAGGAACTTTAAGGGTTTTAATACAGTTAAAATTCTGTAAAAGACGAAGGGTCTTTTGAAGAATATGTTTTCACTCCGGTCCTCTTCCTATGATCTTCGTGGCAACTACATTCTTTTACTAAATAAACCTAAAACAACCTACCTATGGTCTTAACTCCTTTCCTTACTTTTCAGCTAAGCAGTGGAATGCACTGTCGGATCGACTTTTTTCGTAGCAGTTTTTTTTGCAGACTTTAAGACCAAAATACAGGATGTTACCTTCATGTAGATTCTTTTTGCTTGACATACTTAAACTTAAAATTGTAAATTGTAAATAATATTTTCTTTTCTTTTCTTTTATGTGCTTATTATTATTAATATTATTTTATCATTATTACTAATTATAATGCATTTAATGTATATATAATATATATATTTTACTATATTATTTTCATGTAGTGTCAACTCGAAGATATTAGCTTGTTAGCTACTCTAAAATTCGAGTGTAAATAAAGTTTATGTTATGTTATGTTTTATCCTGACTCATCTCCTTTAACTGTTTTCAAGCAAGTGAGAAATCGTTGGCGGTTGCTAGCAAACACTTGAAACCAACAGCTAAAGCACATGAGCACGATACTGACAGTGCCGATTTAGGAACTAATTAAACTAACTATGGTTAAGCGAGGTAGGACGAGCAACTAGTAGGTCAGTCTTTTTAGTGATAGATCAACTGAGAGTGGTAAAAAATGCACTGGCTCTAAATTGGAGTAATGCGGCCGTATTTCAGGGTCAGTAACTCATATTTTGAACTACTGACCACAAAGGGGAAATCTTATGATGATTTGCCGTATTCGTTTTTGCAGCTGATGTGGATGATATATGGAGTATTGCTGAAGCTGCGAGAAAATTTCAATCACCTCAGGGGAGACGAAATGAGTGGCTAGTTGCATTCAAAGAAGGTGTAGACATCAGTGAGAAAGAGATACAAGACACATTTGGTCAACAGACTGAACAGGATTTTATCGCCAGATATGATTTGTCGTTTTTAACACCACGAAGTCAAGCAATACGATGCAAAGTATGCATGGAAGCCAACAGTTGTGGTTTCGCTTTGTTTCCATGCCTGTTTCGTTGGCCTGTGATGGAAAATAAAATGGAAAAAGGGAAGGAAAAACTTTCCTTTATCGGCACGGCCGTAAATATTTTTCAACGCTCTTCAACGAAACCGGCCTAAGCACAGCTGTAAGCACACTTGCTAATTCAGTTTCTCCAGTTAATTTCATTTATTAAAAGTAAGCCTCATGTCACATAAAGGCAATTTTTGTAGTAAGGTTGTATTGTAAGGTTCGGGGCTTAGATTTAGTGAGCGAAATTTAAGTAATATAACCCGAACATTTACAAGACAGTAGCGTGTTTTAATTACACCGACATGATCAATCATGATTTAGGGGCGGTTGCATTTTAAGTTCAAGTGCATTCATAGACTCGGCCTTTAGGGGAGGACTGTTTCAGCTCATCTTTGTTCTCATTTCGTTTAGGTTTGGGTGGCAAACAGGCGGGTTGAAAAGAAGCTTGATGAAATACCAATTCCTTTTAGCGACGTTAGCAATGTCGTAGAAGAACTGCGCTTCGAGGACGAATCTACTAGAGCAAGATGTCGAGGGTGGTTGGTCTTGCTATCCAAAAAGTTTCTTCAGGCTGACATAGTATTTCCTGGGTGTAACATTGATTGTAGACTCTTTATACGTGCATTAACAGGTGATCAAGCTAGTTAATTCTAAGAATTTAAGGTGCTACCGGTCAAATTGTATAATAACTTTCAGGAGCTGGAATTTTATACATTCCTTAAATTTACCTCTATCTGTCTAAGATAATGGATTTGGAAAGGGAAATATTTATATAAAGTTAATCACGTGCTTCTTTGTTTCATTTTTATGTCTGATTTATTTTACAGATGATGCTTTTGTCAAGGCAAACGGTGTTCACGAAAAAGAAGCAACAGACCTTTTGTCACAATATCTCTCCAAGTTAACCTACACTGATGCTGAGGGTTTGGTACTTCCGGATGAGGAGCTACCCCCGGGGTATCTCTTCAATCACAAGCGGTGCTCAAAACGAGTCCAGTACATTCCCAGGTCAGGATTCTCCATGATCGTCTCCAAAGAGAAAACTTGGACTAGCGACAGCAACGAAGAAGAAAAAAGAGATACTGTAAGTAAATTTTGTCATTCGGAAAACAAAACTTTACCTTAATCATCTCCGAACAGATATTTTACAGAAAACAGTCGTTGTTTGCACCTGACGCCATCGTAATAAATTAGAGACAGGCAGTTCCCTGCGATCCGTGCTTCCGGTCATAGGCCAGTTACATTAACTGATAATGCCAGTGGCAAAAGCAAATGTTAGGCTTAGCAAATATACAAGAAAGATGAAATAAAGATAGCGGCACGGACTTGTCGGAAAAGAGTGTTTTCCAATTTTTCGTATAGGTTTCGAACCTACCCATTCTGTGGCCTTTTAAAATTACGATTCAGTAAATATTCGCGGAGCTGCATGAACATTTATTAACCTATTTTACCAATGTTCTAGTCCTATTACATTATAATAAATTACATTGTAGTACGGGGGATGTTTCTCACAAACTGAGGAACCCAGTCTATCGATCTCTATATAATAGCCTTACTTCTAAGACGGAGTCTCATAGTTCAACAGCTCAGCCTGATTTGGGCGTCCCGACAAGGTCAAATGTTTAATCCCGGTTGAGGAAGCTCGATTTAGGGATGACATCCTAAATGGTTTGACCTTTTTCTTACTGATCTATTCCTTTTTCAGATCGATATCCACTTAGGCTGTGAAGAGTGGGATCAAGCTCTTAGTGGTCAAGACTGGGAACCCGAAGTGATCGTAGCCAGACTCCCTGAATTTCTTAATTTTGTTCGAGACGTTCAAAACTTTATTTCCCATAGTAACTTTACGAAGGAAAACGGGCAGTGAACAGACGTTTAAATAATAATACCTTGAAACCTGTATTAAACGGACACCCTCGGGGAATGCTGTAGTGTCCGCTTAATACAGGGTGTCCGCCTAATACAGGTTTCAATCAATAACGTCATTTGAGGTGTCACATACCATTCAAATGAACAGTGGAAACGTTTAGAATACTCCCAGAGACTATGACGATATACGTTTGCATTAATTTCTTTATCAAAGTGGACCAATTGATCAAAGTACCATAAACTAAAACATAGATTGCAACTCAAATTTGAAGAAATCAGATGAGTGGAACAAGCTCCATACAAACAAAACGAAATAGAAAACAATACTGTACTGTGAGACTACTCAAATAAGTTCGTCAAGTCACGTTTTTAAGGTAAAAATCGAAAAATTTGTGGGTGGCAATTAGAGGCAATTTTTCCCATTTCCGGTGTCTGGCATGTTGGGCGGTGGAATTTAATTACAAGTGTCCGTTTAATACAGGTTGGCAACAATAGAAATGACCATTTCAGGTACTTTTTAGGTGTCCGCGTCCGCTTAATAGGGGTGTCCGCTTAATAAAGGTTTCATTTAAAGCAAATAAGGGAAATAAATTTGGGGACTTCGGCTACTGTCCGCTTAATAGAGGGTGTCCGCTTACTACGCGCCACGGTGTCCGCTTAGGTTACACTGTAATAGTAATAATGATGATGATGATGATGATGATGATGATGATAACAAAAAAAGAAAAGAAAAAAAAATCCGAGGTCATTGAAAAATTCAGAATTACCCATCAGCACATTTTTAAAGCTGCAACGAATATTTCCAGCCGTGGTGTTTTTAGGGCAAATTATAAATAAGATTGATTGAATGATTTTGGAGGGCTTGACACTCACGATTCGAATGGGGTACTATTTATGAACCCATTTTTCGCACCTCTGGCTCCACAAGTAGCTTACAAGTATGAGGTTAGCTGATTTTAAAACACCTATTTTCCTCCTACCAGGAAAATAGTCAAGGCCAGCGTTGCAAGAAACAAGGCAGAGTTGGGGTTTATGTTATCATCCCACTTCTATCAGGGGAAGGGAAGGAATTTGCCAGTACGTTCCAAAATTAACTGGTTCTCTATTAGCTAGAGAGAATAGTTGGTGCTCGAAAGAGACTTTCAAGGGTCACTCTTTGCAAAGCAAAGGTAATTCTGTGTAGAAAGGTCATATAAGATTGCTGCAACACAAACTTTATTTCGACATAACGGGTTTGAATTTTATTTTTTTTTCTTTCATGCTCACAATACAACAAAGAAATCTTTAAATTTGAACCAGGAAAATAATTCATTTTGACAGCTTTTTGCTTTAATAAGTGTTTGTTCTTCTCTGTTATTCTTGTGGATACGCTGAGAGACTTTGATCGTCAAAAGTCAATGTTACATTTCTCTTGCTCAAGGGAATCTTACATGTCCTATCATCTGGTCCCTCGGGATACTGGTCAGGCCAGTAGAAATATTGCGTCCATACGTGGAGCCTCGTGAACTTGGTGCGCTTAAGAAAAAACAGTTGTTAAGAGAACACATTAGAGTGATTTAGCAACAGAACGGGAACGCCTGTTGAGGACGGGAAAGCGCGCGGAAAGGACTAAAAGCGACTTCCGGTAAACAATTTGCAGCTCTCTCATTGGTCAAGTCGATTTTTTTTTATTTGCGCGTGCTATCGTCATTGCCGTCACCTTGTCTTTGCTAAATCTACCCATTTTTCGAGTTTCTTATCAAAGAGATTGCAGCATTTATGGTGTTTGATTGCACGTAGGTTGTTCAGGGTTAGTTTAATAAAAATGTCCTAAGTCACCAGTGGTTGGATTGCCGCTATAAAGTTATTTATTCATTCATTATTTAATATGTATTTATATCATTTTGTTATTAACATCGCCGTGGTTCACGTGATTCAGTATTCGCCATATACACACGAGAAGGAAACTGGGCCGAGTTAACTTTTGCAAAGACTTCTGGGATTGTTACTAGGGACCAGGAAAAAATTGAGCCAATAGCTGACCGGCGCATGCCCAGTAACAATCCCAGAAACAATTGCGGGATGCGTTTCGTTTCCAGTTTGTTAAAGTGGCGCATGAGCAGTCGTTTAATCCCCAGAATAACAGGCTTTGATACTCACGTCAAGATCTTTGCAGTTTGTGTTTGTGATCTTGTTGTCATCACAACTCAGGTTTTCATCAACAGGGATCTTAAGATCATAAACACCAAACGGACTCTTGCACTCCTCAGCTCCCAGGAGCTTATCTTTATTAGAACGGCCTCGCGTAGTTAACTGGTTATCACACATTGAATGCCAACGAGAATCGTCCTTTGTAAGGCAGAACAAGGAGATTTCTAAAGAGAAAAAAACAACAGCAACAATAAAGCATGATGACCTAATACAGGTTTTTGTCTAAAAATAGCTTATTATATCAGTATTATCACTAGTTTTACCAAAAGCCAGGAGTGACTTAAAAAAAAGAGTGAGTATAATTATGTCATATGTCAGCACTTAACTCGATGGGAGAGGATCTGATAAATGGCATTCGTTCTACGTAGGGATATGGATACAAATGCTTCCTGGCCCATGGTCTGAAAAGTCAATCTACAAGTATTCTTTTCTGCCCGAAGGACCGAAAAAACTTTTTTTGGAGACCGCCTCCCCCTTATCTAAGGGTCTGGAGCCGGCACTGAAAGGTACCCCTTTCTGGCGGCGCCCTCTCGTGTTGGCCATCAAATTGAGTACCTCCCTGAGCAACCTACTTACTTCCTTGAGCCTTTGCTTCCTGGCACTTCCGTTTGTTTGTGACACTAAACCGGTCAAATTCAACGTTCCTGTACGAGCCGATAGATTGATAGTATTTCTTGGTGGTGCCGTCCCCAGCTCGAAAATAAGACGCACTAAGATGACGTACTTGAAGATGAACTTTATCAGGAACAGAAGAGGGCTGGTCTTCATCGCTAGTAAGTTCCACATACACCTGTGAATTCAAAGCAACATGATCAGTGAATTTTTCTGTGTAAGAAAGTGAAGTAATATAACATCGTAGGGTATTGTTCTATTCCCGGGGAGACCGAACAATCAGGGATTCTTTAAAATATAACCAAGCAGAAAGGGCTGCTGCCAGTAAATAAAGCTGGTGAATACCTTAAGTAGCCGTAGATTGTAACACTTTTTACAGCTTTTATCAATCCTGAGGGTGAATTTCGCATAGCCATTCGTAAGGTCTTCGAAAAGCTGAAAACATAATATTAAATAAAAACAGAAAATTAGTTAATTTATAGAGGGTGACAATGACCAGGTATATTACAAATTTTGTGAATATATCCCTTCGAGTGAATAATGTCTTTTTTGGGAAGGCAGTTTAGCGATAACATTTTACTTAATTGTAAGTCGATCATCCGAATCTTTTTTTACTGCGCAGTTAATTCATATTGCAATGTTTTTGTCCCAAAGAACTTTACCATGCTATTGGATTCCACACAGCGACCGTCAACCCTAGTAGTCAAATCAAATCAAATCAAATCCTTCATTTAGACACGTAACACCCAGGAGCAGTAAAGTTCTCGTTAAAACGTGTACAAGTGTACAAACAAAAAAAAATAAAAGTATACTAGTAATCTAAACATTACTACTATTAAAATACTAACTATAAATAGGTCTACAAAATGGCTAAAAGCAGAATCTAAAACTAAAGCTATTTACAGAATTTACAAGCCCTACACTTTTAGCCGTGTAAGCTTTAAGAGATCGCTTAAAGGACGCAATGGCCTGTGATTCTCTGACTTACTGCAGGATTTCGCCTTTTGCTCCAGCTCCATCTCTTGATGCCCGTAGCAAAAATGTTATTCGTGAAGCATTTTACAGCTTTATCTTGAAGTTGTTTCATATTCTGTAATACATTTGTTAGTTCAACAGCTCCGTTAAGTCTCCCAGTCCCCAACGCACTTTCACTGGCCAGCCGTTGAAATGACGTCAGCGGGCTGTTTCCTTCCCAAAGTGTGCGGAATACAAAAGCTTTGTGAAGTTCATACAGGTTTCTCATGAACGACCGCTCCAGTGCTCTGTATGTGCTGAGTAAATAATCCAGGAAGTTCTGCTGAAGTTTCGTGGTTAAAGGAGTTTCTTAAATGAAGAATACAAAATACCATCAGATAGGACGCATGCCTGATTAGATCGCACACCAGTGGAAAACGTACAGTACTAAGATACCTAATGTCCGACAAACTATTACTTTTGTGTGCCTGGATCGAACTTTTGATGATTTGCAAAGTTCAGGCACTTCTTCGTTGGAAGAAAGAACTGAAAGAAAACTTCGGGGAGGGGGATAGCATCCATCAGCCCTACCCCCACCTTAACTTGTTCCTTTTTTTGCTAAGTTACGTTTTATACAGTCGACTCTCTCTTAACGGACACCTCTATAAGACGGACACCTAGACTAGGTCCCTGCCTTTGCTTATTCCCTTTATTTGACTCTTTAATAACACGGACATCTCTCTAAGATGGACACTTAGTGCCGGTCCCAAAGGTGTCCGTCTTGGAGAGAGTTGACTGTACGTCTTTTCTCACCGTCTGATTTTCCAACTTCTTTGATTGCATTTTCTGTATCACTTAGAAGAGGAACATCAAACAAATATCCCCCCATTTCGTTATCGAGATCCATGCATTTTCCTATCAGGTCAATACGAGCCGCTCCCGAGACAAAGAATGACTCTATTTCCGCATCAAGAGCGGCCGAATCGGTGGGTAGTGAAGCCACCTCCATTAGACACAGAAGTTCCTTCCTAAGCTCAACTTTGTTCATCTCAAGATTTGCCTTTTTAATAGGAAACAAAAACAGAAATAGGGAATTGTAAGCAAGACAAGTTAGAAGGTGTGTGAACTAAGCAAATCCCAGATAGCCTCCCAAGGGCTTTTCCCTTAACGCTTTAACCCTAAACAGAATCTTTACGTAAAAAAAGTGCGAACTAATACGGGGAAACAAACAATCGGATATGCTGCATGTACCATCTGGGACAAAATTACATAACTCTTAAAGAACTAAACACATACCAATTCCAAAAACTATTGAAACCGTATTTGCTGTCAGAACAACATAGTTAACATAACTTAAGCATACACTCTTACTTTCTTAATACATTATATTTTAAAACTGCTTCTTTGGAAATAAATTCTATCTCAATTCTCTAAAACTTTAAATTCTGGAGAACTGGCTAGAAAATCTTAGGATTATTTCAGCTCCAGGCCTTATTAAGTACAAATAAATATATATATATATTTTTCTCTTTCATGTGTGTATGTAATTAATTAAGTACAAGGCGAATAAAGGTATTGTTGTTGTAAGATCAAAAGTTGAATTCTTATTTGTTGCTCCCCTACATTTCCTACAGAAGTAGTGGGGAGAAAATGATAAAATATCAAGCAAATTCTCATGACCACTCCGTTTACAAAGCATCCATATTACAAGGAGAAATTTGATGCTGATCACTCGTAGGGACTACTCCCTTTTACCCAGGCCAGGCGTGGCTGCTTCAAGTATCCTCTCCTTGGTATACCACACATGATGCTCAACAGAGAATCGTACCTAGCTAGTTCTCTCCAATACGATTAGTAATTTTATCGGCTTCCTCCACAAGGAAAAAAGATAAACTTATACTTATCTGCACTACTGAGATTTGAGGCGGTCGTTTTAACGACCCCAGAAAAAAAAATTATTAGTTCCAGACCTTACAAGAGCCTGGCAACCGTATTTCAATTTTATAATAGCCACCTTGAGGATATTTTTATTCCTTTAGCCGTCTTCTAATTGGAAGTGAAATTCCCCACACCTACCACTTGCCCCTAAACACGTATTTAGTAGCTACCTGCATTATTTCCGGGATCGCAGTAACATCAAGTTGATCAAAATCCAGTTGGCTTGGATCTTCGTATGGTTGGTAGTTCTCTCCAAACGTCAGCCATTTCGTGATACTGTCACGGTAGTCACTGAGCTTTTTCAGGCATTGTTTCCCACGAAATGAATCCGCTACGCTAAGGGCGTTATCAATAAAGTCCGACGGGCTTTTGTCACGAATTGCCTTGTAAAAGCCTACAACTCCCTGAAGCATAGCTATTAGGTCAGCTCCATTAAAGTGGCCTTTTACGTATGCATCGCCAAGCGTTACGCCAATACTTTCAAGTATACTGGTCATCCTTTGCTCTTCAAATTTAATTCCCTTCAGTAACGAAATCAGGAAAAGGACTCAAGAAGTAGATAAAGCCTAATTTACTAATTCCGGTATCCCCAAGGCCATACAGTCTAAAGAGGGAATATTGCGTTTTATTTCCCGGGACTCACTATCAAAGTTTTCTGCTTAGCGCTGGCCTCTCCACCATTCGGGTAAAAACCACTCCCCCTCTCTGATCACGTGCATAGGAAAGAGCTATGCAGACTGTTTCCCTTGGGGCCAGTCATTGACTACTTTTGTAATTCCCCCCAACACATTAATACGAAAACAAATATACATATTTTCCACCAGTCAATGGGCGTGATCGTGAAACAGAGATTTCAATTTGCGATTTCTGAGCAAATTGAAAAGAAGCTAGTCATTTTTGTTTAGCCGATTGGAAACGCCGCTGATTTTTATATATATAATTCAAATGCCACTCAAAATTATCTTATGTGAAAGGTCGAATACCTTGACATACAATCTTTTTTCACTCTCAGCTATATATTGATTCTGCTCCAGACGTCTTCTTTCTGCATTTACTTGTAGTGAAGCTACTTCAGATATTTTAGAACCCATCTTTGAAGAAAAAACAAAACAAACAATCAAACAGAAAGACAATGGTACTTTTAGAATTAATGTTGGGAACAACTGTGTAAATAAATAATTGAATAAATAAATAACGATGATGATGATGATGATGATGATAATGGTGATGAAGATGATGATGGCGATGATGATGGTGGTGATGATGATGATGGTGGTGATGATGATGATGATGATGGTGATGGTAATGATATTGATGATGATGATGATGATGATGATGATGATGATGATGGTGATGGTAATGATATTGATGATGATGATGATGATGATGATGATGATGATAATGGTGATGATGATGATGATGGTGATGATGATGATGATGATGATGATGATGATGATGGTGATGATGATGATGATGATGATGATGAAAATGGTGATGATGATGATGATGGTGATGGTAATGATAGTGATGATGATGATGATGATGATAGCATGATGGTGATGGTGATGATGATTTGTAATCAATAACAATAATATGATTAAGAATGAGAATAAGCTGGCAAAAGTGGAGGCAAGCACGGACCCACACGTCCCCCTCCGCCTACATCTGCAGATTAACCTAGGAACCCGAAAGATCCGATGTTCGAGATGTTAACCAATCCGCAACACAACATGAGAATGTTAATGAGAATGAGAAAAAGTTATGATAATTGTCATGTTACTACAGCGAGACAAAGAAGGAAATATAAATCACTTATAACAGGATCCGGCTCCTACTTATAACTATGGTTTAACTGTTTGGCCGACAAAAGATCCTAGTCTGTAACATCATGGTTTTGACGATAACTAACCGCTTTAAAGTTTTCGGTGTCCTTCACTGTGGAGATGATATCGTTGAAAGCATTTTCATATTTTTCAGCTGCATCTTTAATGACTTCCACAGTTCCTTCAAGGGCCTCCCATTTGATGCGTGGGGCAAATAGCTTGTTGTTTCCAAATATATCAAAGCCATCTTTACCCAAGAAAGCAAGTTTCCGTGTTGCGTCTACAGGAAAGACGATGCAAGTTAAAACGTGCTTTGATGTCAAGATCTTAATGTTAATTAACAACGGCAACATTCGAAAGTTCCATCATTCAGGGACATACAAAGAGATCCGGACCCTCACTCTCCCCTCCCTTTCTTCCTCTCCCTTTCTCTAATTGTATAAATAACACTTTAAGTGGCTTCAAATATCTATAAAGATACGGGAAATTTTTGTCTGTAATCCGGAATTCTGGGACTTGAAATCAGGAATAAAGCTCAAGGAATCGGGAAACCCAACAACGGTTGAAAATCGGAGTCCCAATTCCACTGACATAGTGACCTGGGATCCAGAATTACAGAATCCAAGACTGTTTGGATCCCCTTACATAGGGCGTGATATATGGTTTAAAGAAACAGTTACTTGAGCCTTCGAATTCAACATATCTCAAATCTGACCGAGCACGTCCTTCATAAAACATGGGGCGACAGTTTACGGAAGTAAACATTTTGTGCCAGCCCGGATGGAAATTCTGAGAATTTAGTCTCTCGCTTTATATAACCAATTTTTTAAAAAATTCTTTGCCGAAAAACTAAGTTCCCAAAGGCTTACATTTGTTGATCCGCTGCGCGTTTTCATCTGTAGTTATTTCGTCCGTCACTCTTTTTATAAACTCTAATGCTTCCCGGCCTTTCTGATCACCACTGTTGCTAAGCAACAAATCTTCGGCTTGTCTTCTCATGATTTCTAGTAAATCCACAGGATAGCTTTGTTTATCCTCTGCCTCCAAGGCCCCGGATTTAACAGCAGGTCCACTGACAGAACCATCACTCCCTCGGGTTTGAGGAGCTGAGAAAAAAGGATCAGTTAAGAAAACTGCCCACCTTCCCTCCTCCAAGCCAACATTCAAACTCTTACTTCTCACTTAGGGTAAAACGTTAGCTTAGGGGAGGGGTAGGTAACCATAAGTAAATGATTAACTATCTGCATTATTCTATAAATATTCAAACTCCCCTCGGTCTAGTCTCCCGTGCAGCCGTTTTTGTCTCGTCTGAGCCACGAAGCATAGACGATTACGTTGGAGACTACCCCCAGTCACAACGCTACCACATTACAGACCAGACATCGTCAAATATTTTAATAATATCAGGCCGGTCTTTTATTCGCTTTCTGCTAGCAGGAGGAGCGGACCCTTTCCCCCACCCCCACCCCATCTTCCCTCAGCTAATAGAGAGCTTAAGCAGCGACGTTTTTGAGCCTCGGGCGTCAACCGAAAGTGGACTTTTGGCACTCTTGAGCCGTGATTTTGAACAAATTTGTTCGGTTGGCGTGCGTCGCTTAAAAATGTCACTGATGATGACACTTAGCAAAATTAGCAAAATCGTTGAAGATCGCCTTTAAATGGCTCGTAAAATAGATTGATTTAATAGATCAGTCTGTTAGCCTTGTCGTTTCTTGTAAATAATTCTTACTTGATCCTGGAGATCCATCATCACCGGAAGGACCCCGACTGCCACTAGGACCAACTCCATCATCTTTGCAAAAGAAGGTGGAGTCCCTGTGCCCAGGACATTCACCGTAAGAGTTTCTTATTTTGGTCCTTCTTTTTTCCCTGGGATGCAATGCAGTACCTTCAAGGAAAGGCAATCAATTCACGATTACATTCTTACGCACTTGAAAATTATACGCGACAGTGAAAATCCACTTTTACCTAAACTTTGTACCCAGGGTTCTTTCCTTATTAGGGACCTTAAGATCCGAGGACGGCGACGGCAGCGAAAATAAACATCGCTTAAAAAGTGAATTCGCGTTCATCCAATCTTCATCGCGACAGTTCCAACTCACTTACTTTGTCAAATGTAGGCGAACTCTCCTGGAGTTGCATGCCTGAAAAACCATATCCGAGTTCAGAAAGACAAAGAAAATTTCATAGTAGCTTGTTTACGTCCTTCATAAAACGTGAAATTAGGCATTTTCTCGTCGTAGTCGTGCAGTGACGGCAAAGAAATGTACAAAAAAGCGTGATGCACGTGCAAAGTTGTTGTTTTGCCGTCGCCGTCGTCGGATTTTAAGGTCCCTATTGTCCCTCAGACGGCTGCGGAGGACGAGTAGAAGAGAACCCTGGGAACGAGTTTGCTTTTACCCTTATAGCCAGGCGGTCCCCTTGGGAGTTTTGATGGTTTATCACGGTCAATCCAGTCTATATAGTCTGGATCACAGTTTCTTCCAGCTCCTCCTCTTCCTCCTGCACCACCTACAAGTTAAGGAAAGTTTGAGTTGGACTAAGTCACCGCGCGCCCGCAAGTGTGAGGTTATCCAGAATCCAGGAAATTTTCTAATGGAATCCGGAATCGTAGCCATTGGAATCCGGAATTTGGCTAAATAAATCCGGAATCCTGTTAACGATTGGGATCCTAGGGATCCGGAATCCACGTTCCATCCACAAGAAAAGTGGAATCCAGTGCCTGTGATCCGGAATCGACAGTGTGGAATCCAGAATCCAAGACTTTTTGGGACTGTCTTACATGGGGCGAACTGAAACAGACTGATCCGTTTTCTTTGCCATATATTCAAGTGTTTTGCAAGTCAGATATAGTATCAACGTTGGAATGCGGCAAGACTACAACTTTGTTAATTGATTGATTAGTTTATTTATTTGTTTTTCTTTTACTTGCGATCCTAATAGATGAAATGCGCTCCATGCTTATTAAAAGTAATAAAATGGCGAAGCTTGAAATAAGACCTATAATTTAGTGTTAAAGGCGCATTACTACTTACAGTGTACTGAAATAATTTTCTCTGTGCTTACCCTTTCCACCAACTCCGTTATTAGCCGCAGGCGCTCCGCCTCCTCTGCAAGATTTTAACTTTATTTGCCCATTTAAAAGCCTGTAGCGAATGTGTACATTGCCTGCATTTCCACCATTTCCTACGGAAAATTGATTGGTGCAAGGTATTCTGTTTAAGTAGCTTAAAAAACCTTATCAATAGATAGAGCGGTGTTCACTTGACTGTCGTAAAACCAAAACCAAAGTAAATACACTAGCCAACCAAAGGGCGTAGTAAAACCAAAACCAAACCAATTCCTCAATTACTTTCGACAGTCAAGTGAAAACCGCTCTATGCATACAGTTTCGATTATACAGTATTGTTGCACATAGAACTGACAATTTGACCAACAATAGACGACTGTTTAACTGTGACAATGGACGCATCGAAACGCACCAATAGACCTATTCGGCTAACTGAATGTTGTACCCAATTCAAACCCTTTGGGAGTAAAACGTTTTGTTTCAGGAATTTCCATATCATTTAAATTGAATGCCACATTATAATGCAAATACAATACACAAAGAATCTTATCCCCGGGAGATTTGAATTGGGCACAACATTGAGGTAGCCGAATAGGTCTATTTAATACTGATTAAGAGTCTTCATATCCGATAACATCACGGCTTAACTGACAGACGAGCAATAACATCGCGACGTATTTGACCAATCAGATCAATAACCAGAGTATAATACCATCAACTGACGTGATACAGCTCACTTTGACTCTGAAGATGACTACCGCACAGGTTGTCGAAACGTCAATCACTGTCAACAACAACAGTCCTATTCAGGACTACGTTCACCCGGACGATCAAACTCAACCTCCTTTTGAAATGACTCCTGGGTTCAAACCTTTCACAATCTTTGCAAATATAAAATTATTCGTGACTATTATTAATTTTGCTCCCGCAATAACTGAAACTGCATTTCATTGTTATTGTCTGTTTGACAGATGCTTAAGAGACAAAAGAAATCTCCCTACTTTTATCAAATCAAGGTTTGGGCATTTCTCAGTCATCGTAGCCATGTACACAGCCTTTCATCACGGGGTAGCCTTTGATGAGCTCAGCGGCACCACCCCATTGACGATGGTTAATTGTTCCCCCTGAAAACTAATGATAAATCTCACCAGGGGTTCCTGCATTTCCCCCGTTGCCTCCACGAGTCCCCTTGATCCCATTAAGTCCTCTGATGTCATCGCAGGTACAGTAATCAGTTTGACCTGAACAAGCCCGCCCACTTTTGGCAGGTTGCTGTGAAAATAAAACAGTACCTACACTATTTCGTTCCCCGGGAAGGGGGACTCCGCATATGAAAGGGGTGGGGATGCTCGTCGGAAATTTTGAATTAAACCCCTAAAGGAGACCGATCTGGGCGTGGCCCAAGCTTTTTTGGACCCCTAAAAGAGACCATGTTAAAACACAGACAATATATATATTTTTATATTTTTTCACGTGCAACCCTAAACAAGACCTTCACGGCTAATTATGATGGCGTTTTGCCCAGAACACCCCAAGTGAGACCAACCTCCGAAATTTACACCCCTAAGCAAGACGACGAGCAACCCCACCCGTTTCATAGGCGGAGTACACTCCCCGTGCTTCGTTCCCAGACGGCTCCCTCGCCATGTAAAATTGCTCGTAAAGGAAAATTGGGTAGGAAAAAACGGCCGAGATACCGGGCACTTTCTATTCAACCAAAACGTCTTGTATGAATTTTCGGCAACTTCCTGAGTG